CCCTAGACTGGCTACACTCCCACTGGCTCAAAGTTACCCTGGCTTTCTGGAAAAACTGCATCATGATGCCCTCCCCCTAACTGGAAGACCCGCAGGGCTTTCCTGATGAACAGTTTCGGGGAGAGTTAAGCAACCTTTCCATAACTCGGCTTGTGAAGAAGGTCGTTGCATAGATTCGGCCTCTGCCTCGCTTGACCTTGGTCCGGAGGTTTATCGCAACACGCAGGCTTCTCGCCATAACGCGGGAAGCAGTCAAACATACTTTAAGCCAAATTGCACTTTTCTGCTGTAAATGCTATATCGCTGCGAAATGCTAGCGCTTCAGTAGCGCAGTCGGAAGATTTTTAACAGTAGTTGTAGAAAGGGAAACGTTAGTTTTGTGCTACTTAATACGGGTAGCTGCGCATAGTTTAGGGACTTTGCGGATAGTTGGGAAGGAATTTATGTGAGTGGGATGGGAATCCCAGTCATCCGATAACACACACAGGAGCGAAATTTTTGAAGCATGATCGGTGATCGGAAATGTGGCAGTAGCAGCGGACGTTCCCCTCCCCTCAGGTCGTTTATTTGTTAGTAAACCTGTCGGAGGGCCAAAAACACCGGTCTCCACCGCACCATACATACTAGACACTCATTCAAGTTCTTAAATAAAGCCATATATGCGGATCATCCCCAATAGGTTCAAGTGAACAACGACTCTTTACTCGATGAAGACTCGGCGCAATAAGAAAGTCACATAACTTGTCGAGTATAATCCCGGATCAAAACTTGTAGTACTGAAAAGCAGAGCGAATTCCTGACAATTACTACAATTGGATTCACGTTCGAGGACCTCACATCGATAGTCGCGCCGGGACCAGCACCAATGCGTGGCAACGACGTTTGGGGGTGTGGCATCGATTACTGCGGATTCCACTCGTGTAATTCATCATAATTCTTGCTTTGTTTGTCAATTCCAAGTGGCTCTTCAATTCATAGCCGTAATTACCCATCACTGAAGTCCCACAAAATAGTTTTATTAGTTGGTGTTGTTTATTGACTCATTGACGATTTGTTTCGTTAGTTTCGTTTTGCCGTGTGAATTTATGATTGGAGCGTATCTTTAGTCCTCTCTTGTTAAAGTTGTTAAGCAATAATGGTAGCATTTCACTGCCAAGTTATTTCGATTCAGTATGCACTGGGTAGTGATCTCATTGCTGGTGTTGTCGACGATATGTTCGGCATTTTACCTGCCCGGCTTGGCTCCTGTAAACTTCTGTGAAGCATCGAAACGCAAACCAACATGCCCGGTCAGTTCTTTAACGATTTCGTACTATTCCTCAAAAATTTCTTGTTCTTCAGAGCAATGTGACGTTATTTGTCAATCATTTGGATAGCGATCAGTCCGTCATTCCTTATGAATATCATAGGTAAGCCTTGTTGTTCATTTTTTCTTCCATTAAATCTATATTTGATGTTTATTTCTCAGTTTTGATTTCTGTATCGGATCTGAGGAAGAGTCTCCAGTTGAAAATCTCGGCCAAGTTCTATTTGGGGAACGAATCCGGCCAAGTCCTTATAAAGTTCGTTGTTTTTTCTGAGTGCTTTCTCGTCGCATTGAAGTAACAGTATGCATTGTATTTACAGATCTCTTTTCTTGAAACTCAAGCCTGCTCGAAGGTCTGCTCGAAATCCTACTCAAATGATCCGGCAAGCATCGAAAAGCTTCGGTTGTTGCAGCGAGGAATGCGGCTCAACTATCAACATCACTGGTGAGAATTTGCAAATAATTTTTGATTTTTGCGCCCTTCTAACGTCTATGGACAGGATTATCGACAACATGCCGATCACGTTCTGCTTCAACAATCAACAGGATGTGAAGGTTTGCACGACTGGTTTCCCGATGGGCTGCTATGTGGACGCCAATGGACAGCCACGGGATGCTTGTGTCATTGATGTAAGATTTTAGAGCTCTATTTTCAGTCAGCTGTTTTGAAGAACTGATATTTGTATGAATTTTTCGATGGGTCTTAACTCCACATTTGTGGGTAGCATTTCAGTTTTATCGCTTATAAAACTTGACGGTTTTGTGAACCCTTATTGGGAAACGAAGTGTTAAGCTTAGAGCGGGCGTGGATGGTAGTCAGTTAGTATTCATGGTCCTGACAGTGAGGGCATGCCAAGGTATTCCTCTTATAATTAGTAAGCCTGATTAGGATTTTTGTTGTATTATATAGGCGATATGTGCACGTTTAGTCCATCTTTTGGCGAAGTTAGCTTTTCCTTTGTTGCGATTCTCGTCTTCTAAGTGATCGCTTGTTCTTGGTGGCTTAGAATATGCCTGCTTTGAATAGAAACTGAACAATTGTGGAGAACGTGGTAATTAAGGGTAACTAAACCTTATGTTCGTTAAGCATTGATCAGATCTGTGTGTCATTTTCACTTTTTTTCAGCCACGTTTCAATGCACCAGACAGCTACTACATTTTCAATCATGTAGATATCACGATTGAGTATCGTGATATGACCCAGGACCAGAACTTCTTAGATGGGGAACAGGTGCGTATTTGTTTTCAAAATCCAAGCTTCCTACAACGATTTCCTACTGGTTGCCTTATATATCAATGACTAGACACTCTGACATATAGAATTTTTTTCAAAAATTAGAAACATAATTGAGTTTTTTTTCCAATTTTTTCCTATGACATTTTGAAATCGCGATGCACTAAAGTTATGCAGAACAGCAGAACAGTAACAATTATCGAATCATTCGATAGCTCAGCATTCTCGAAAGCTGAATATCATATCCTATCTTCTCCCCAATCTAATGTCATATACATTCTTCCATGTTAAAATACGACTTTAGGAATTTTACCAGAGCGATCTAGTAAAAATTTTCCGTGCAGGTTTAGAGCAAATAAGCAACGTTTTTAGTTTTATTCCAAGACTGTTTATCGTTAAACCTCTTCGTTATCTTATCAGTCCCGCACCCTTTTTCTGCCAAATGAGCACTCCGGTAATGTTGGACATAGAAATTGTTGTGTACTTTGTGGGATGAAACAATAAGTACGTTAAGCCACTCGCCTCATGAAATTAGTTTAATTGGAGCGGAAGCTAGTGATTGAACATTTTATAGCAACTAATTCAAATGTAGAGACCATATTGGTCAACGGTGGTGTCGCGGCAAGTTTCGCCACTTCTCGCACACATGCCCTATTGATTAGATTGTACCGGTCTTAACCAGGCCTACCATGTCTTCCATACCTGTTCTAATTTGTACCAAACTCGCTTGGAAGGGAAATTTGGGATAGCTGCTGACCCTACATTTCATTTTGTTTCTAAAATCGCATTCCAGTGTCATTATGTCCAAAGAAGCATGCGGTTGCACCCTTTTGTTTGACCATTGCCAAACGCTTTCTTTCCCCGATTTACCATGTGATATCATGAACAGGATGTAAAATTTAGTGGCAAATATGTAACAGGAGTTTAGGGCCGACATTACCACGTCAAATAGGCGAGACGAGACAAAAATGGTCAGCTCTCTAGAATGCGTTCTGCGTTTATAACGCTCATTACCCGACTGTAATGACTATATTATTTCACTTTTTTCCGTCTGTAGTATGGTCGTTAGACACAGTCGCATTGCTGTATGCACCCTTCCAAATACCCTTTTTGAGCGCGGAAGCTTTTTATCTAAAACTGAAGCATGAACGATTCAGGATTATATTTCTCATGTATATGCGACAATGGAACCGCCTTTTGTCCTGCATTTTTTCTTACGAATGCCATCATATTGGCCACTTCATCTTCGCTTTTGTCGATAATAAATATAATTATTTTGTTAAAGGTTGGTGGCCGGATTATTCACATCTTGGTGAAGCCTCGTTCCATCAAACATCCGAGCCCTGACAAGTTGGACTGCTCTCAATCAGCTCCAGCACTGTCGATTAAGGCGTCAGATACAAAAGCTGAAATTACATATTCTTACAAAGTTGATTGGGTGGTGAGTATCGTAACGCTGTTTGTTCGGTCTCTTCATCCGTTATTGTTCCGCTACTCAGAAAACCGATGTGAAATGGTCCTCACGATGGGATTACATTCTGGATTCAATCCCTCACTCTAATATTCAGTGGTTCTCCATTATGAATTCGCTTGTGATCGTTCTCTTCTTATCTGGAATGGTAAGCTTTTTTCATTATCTTCAAGTAATAACAGATTTAAATTTTTTTTTCAAATAAGTTTTGTTCAGGTAGGAATGATCCTTATGCGAACGCTCCATCGTGACATTGCCAGATATAATCAGCTAGACAATGAGGTTTTGCTTCTAACTATGGTTTTAAACCTTCGGTCTTATTTCCCGATTCAATCAAGAGTTTGTTTTTGCCAAAGCATCTGTTGCAGGAAGATGCCCAAGAGGAGTTTGGGTGGAAGTTAGTTCATGGGGACGTATTCCGTCCTCCGAGAAACGCGATGATGTTATCAGTATTCATTGGAGCAGGATGTCAGACTTTACTCATGGTGTCCATCACTCTTGGTCGGTTTATTTCCAGTACTTCATTAAAGCTTTAAAAGGTTCGGAACACAATTATTAGTACCACTAGATTTGGAACGGAGATAATGATGTAGAGTGGTTGACGCTTGACTAGACTTTCCCAAATCTTATCCCGTCATCATGCAGGGAGACAGTTCCGCATGCGGTTGCAAGCTGCGTATGAACACAAAACACATTGTTGGAGTCACTTTGATCCGAAAGTTTTTGAACAGAAGCGAGAAACGTCTTCGGTCGTCCCTGTCGCGAGCCAATGTGATTCTTTCGATCCTTCATATTAGAGATATTCGAGCAACTCATCCGCGCAAAGGTTCCATGAAGACCATTGTACTATGATCATGATCTTTGTGTGACGTTTGGAAGAGTCACTTAGCAGCCGCCTGCGCACAGCTGTCACGAAATCTCAGAACATGTACGCTGCGGATGTTTTCTCACCTCTAACGTCAGTTTTCATCGTCTATTGTTAAGAAATTTCAAAGGTCAGGGGTCGAAATCCCTTCAATAGTAAGCACTTAGGCGTCTTATTCTAGTAACGTGTAGAAGTCTGTTTACCCCGACTCATTTAGTAAAGATAAAGCTCAGGTCTCATTTGTGCTTCACCGTGTTTGGAAGTTTTCTCAGTGTAGTTGCTTGGCACAGCTGTTCAGTTATGGAAGTCTCTTCACAGGTTATTATGTCTGATGAATAGTATGGAGCCCGTTTGTGGACAGAATTTCTGTCTAGAACTTAGCGGGGATTCCAGCTTATAAGCTAGGGTATTTCTAACGGTATGCTGTGCCAGCAAGCTATGACCGCTAGATTTTGTGTAAAATGTGAGTGTGCAACGTGAAGCGGCTCAATGTGTGGCTATTTGGGCGACTTGTAATTCCACTTCAAAAATAACGTGCGGTCGGTTTCAATGTGTTCACTCTATCTCTGTTTACCTTTACGTCCCGTTTCAAGCATTATTCTTCTCACGCATATTTTTGGTGCATTTAGTGTTGAACTTTACAAAACGCCATTTTGTGCAAATCTATATACGTACCACTTTTGTTGCGCTTAGCGCTCGTTGAGGTTGACAATCTTCTGCGTTCTTGTCACTTTTTCTTCTTAGGATTTCACTTTGTAAAACGTGGCATATACAAATTCAACCACCTTCCATATTTCTATGCTCCTTTATTATTAACAAGTTTACCTTTCAGTATTCGCTTGTCTTGGGTTTTTGTCACCAGCGAACCGAGGAGCGCTAATTACCTTCGCATTGGTATTCTATGTGCTGTTCGGAATCGTTGCTGGCTACGTAGCAGCACGATTGTACAAAAGTGAGTCTTCCGTAATGTAGAACTATGTATAGCAAGTTCCCTCAAAATATTGCTTTTCAGCATTCCAAGGGGTGCATTGGAAAACAAACGTCATATTAACCAGTTTCCTGATTCCTGGGTATGATCTTAACAATTACCCCTTTTTATTAATGGTACATATTTTCCTGCTTAATTTCCTGAAACATTATTTCTAGAATTCTTTTCTCCGTGTTTTTCTTCACTAATATTCTGCTATGGATAAAAGGATCGTCAGCTGCGGTTCCTTTTGGAACTCTACTTGCCCTATTATCTCTCTGGCTGTTCATCTCCACTCCGATGACGTTTATCGGCGCGTTCTTTGGCTTCAAGAAGAGGGTTGGTGTGAGATTTTTGTTCGATTTCATTACTTCAATATTGGACTAGGACTTTATTGCTCATCCTTAAACCGTGCATACTACGTGACCTGGCTTGTCATTTTATTAAAGACTTAAAGGAATCCTCCACGGAAAAAGCTCCGCCCTCATTACCACAGAAAACGATACCTTAAAGGAATCTTCCACGGAAAGAGTGATCATTTTGTCTTGTGTAGGATTAGTATTATCGAAACTAACGCTTATGTTCCGTTCTTTTTGCTATGCTCATGAGGCTAGGGGCCTAAGGGGTATCGTTTTTCTGTGGTAATGGAGGCGGAGCTTTTTCCGCGGAAGATTCCTTTAAGTGCGTCAGAGAAATTGTTTTGCGATCACTATGGCTGTCTCCTTTTAATGTGTTCGTGAACGTTGGGTGGAAGGAAACCCTACAGTCACGGCTTCGTTTTTCGTTAGACTTGTGAGCAATTAGATTGAGAAGTCGTATGACTCTGTTACTTTGCCACACCTACTCCTTTACGAAATTTTATGTCTTGTTGCCTGCGTAAAATGGAGTTGGTCGGGATCTTTCCACGGGTAAGGAGTGAATATTTTGGTAAGGGAAAGCCATGAAAACGATCAAAAACACATTTTATGATCAGCTCCGAAAGTCAAATTCTTCGGTTGGAAAATTCCTTAAAAGGAGCATCATATTTTGCGGTTGATTGCGTCATACTCTACGCTCATACCACCATTCCAGGCGATTGAGGCTCCTGTTCGTACGAATCAGATCCCTCGTCAAGTTCCTGAACAGACTGTGTACACAAAACCGCTTCCCGGAATGCTCATGGGCGGAATACTCCCATTCGGATGCATCTTCATTCAGCTGTTCTTTATTCTTAACAGTATCTGGTAAGGTTTCTAGTCGAGCGTGTTATTATTTCTTTGACCTTTTACACCTTTTTTGATTCAAGTAATTCTTTCCATTAGCAGCGTTCACAATGCTACTTTTCTATACTAGCGTTAACAACGCTTCCCACCATTGATCGCATTTTTCTGGCGTTGTTTTGCCACGAAAGAAATCACTTGTCCCGGAACTAGCCCCTTCCTGGAATTGCAGTTTTTGTTCGTTGCGATTATGAGTTTTTGAACCTCGATCCGATTTCAGGGCTCATCAGACCTACTACATGTTTGGTTTCCTTTTTGTTGTGTTTTTGATCCTCATTATCACCTGCTCCGAAGCTACTATTCTTCTTGCATACTTTCATTTATGCGCTGAGGTGGGTTACATTAGAGTGCTAATTTATTAATTCGATTTTGTATTATTTCCTGCTTCTGTGCATTGAAAAGATTTATTTCATGAAATAATTTCAGGATTATCACTGGTGGTGGCGCTCGTTCTTCACGAGTGGTTTCACAGCCGTTTATTTGTTTGCCTACTGCGTACGTTTTTTCACAAGCAAACTGGCGATCACGGGAGTTGTACGTTTTCTTTTCTAACTCAAAAAGTATATGATTGTTTTGGAGAGCATTCGTGAATCCCATTGATAGTTTGCATTCCCAGCTATTGGTTTACTAATTTTCTCATTTTTTTCAAACTTCGTGATTTGATTTCAACAAAAGTTGCGCGGATCATGTGTCGTGGGGCATCTCATCTTCAGGTCAGCAGAAGGCGTCTAGGGTAGAAACAGTTGGATGTATATTGTTGAGCGACTGTCCTTAAGATAGCCATTTTCTGTTCGATTCAAGGCTCTAGTCTCTCACGGTTCTAGTAGTCCGCAAGGGTTCGAGGGTCGTGTATCGCTGTTCATTGCTAGATGAGATGTGGTGTCTTGAGTGGTCACTCCACATTTTTGGCGAATAGAATTTGGGATCTAGGTGGACATGGTGTTTTTCTGAATATACGTGGTTTTTGGTCCTATATAGGACTGAAATAGTGACTTAAAGGGCGTGGAATTTTTGAGAAGGCCTATTTCCCTCTTTGTCATGTTGTATTCTATATGCAAGCCAAATAATATCATTTACGTTTATGAAACAAGGGCATCGTTTTCCCACTCAGTTCGGCTTTTATATGAATCACTACCATTCTTTCGCACGCTCTGAGAATCTTTCAGGAAATATCTTGAACAAAACTTGCTCAGTTAATTTACCCTGATTGGAATTTTTTTAAGGTCTCAACAATACTGTACTTTTCCTATACTGCGATTTTCGTCTTCATGTTCTTCCTCATGACTGGTGAGTAAATTTACAAATTATCCGATTGTAAGCTAATTTAGGCCATATTTGTCCTGTTCTTAAGATAGCCCGTTTCGACCTCAAGTGTTACCAAACCCTAAACGATGCCACACACTTGCCGCGCAAGAAAAGCTGCTATTGTCGCTCTAATAATAGTTATTCGTTACGAAGGGCGAAGAGTGTGTAGAGTTGATATCTCGCGCATGCGCTCGCATATTTTGTGCAGTATCATAATGCGGTGGGAGGCTAAAGGTGGTAAAAGTATAAATGTGGTCGCTCGAATCAATTTCAAAGGGCTGGGTCTATCCACGAGTGGTTGCTTTTGAAGTTACTTTGACTAGGGGATTCGAACGCTTGCAGTAAATGTGGAATAACTTCGTGAACAGTTGTTAAAACTACCTGTAACCTCAACCTCATAAACTGGTTCAATGGTATATTAGTGTATCTTCATGGCCGCTTCATGTAACCAGCTAATCGTTATTCTTTCCTCGTAATCTTTCATTCCTTTTCTCAGGTACGATCGGTTTCCTGGCTACGTACTACTTTATGCACAAGATCTATGCCTCTGTGAAGGTGGACTGAAAACGCTTCCCAGTGACCGAGTGGTATCTCACTGATCAAATATAACTATACATAGTTAATATGGGTTCTTTTCTATTCCGGCAGATAATGGTCATTTACTTCGTTTATAGCGCCCTGCTTTATTACTGCAAGTGACGGTTACTAACCCTGGTCGTCAGTATTTGTACTATGTATGAAATTGCATGTGAAACACATAACAAATATATATTTATATAGATAAGATGTATATTCCCTTGGCCGCCGCTCCCGTCTTTTTGTTTGACTTATCGCCAATAGGCAGTTCGGCTGTGTTTTAGTGTTGCGGGCGTGTGTTTTTTACAATCATTTAATATTGTTTGTATGATTTCCAAATACCTGTTAAGCCACTGGTCGGGATGTTTTAACTTCCAGCAATGCTCTCGCTATTCAGCTTTCGATTTCGCACACATGCGATAACAATACTTTTCCCTCATTGTTGTACTTTCTCCTGGTTAGCAATATAATATGTGGTGTAGTTTTAGCTATCCTTATTCTTTGAAATAAAACTATTTTATAAGATTTGCTTGGGAGATTGTAATTCTTTTATAGGTCATGTTCTTCTGCCACATAAATCTGACGTAAAGGAACACAGAACTTAAGCAGGGTGAATATCGCTTGAGGATTCCTCAACGGCACGTCGAGGATTCTCTGCCCGATCAGACACGATCTCTCGCGCGGACATTCACACTCGCCATGCGTGCCGTCTGTGCTCTCCGCGCGGATGTTCACTCTCGGCACTACTCTCGCATGGTAGAGAGCTATGGTCGAGGAAATTCCTCGACCGTTATTCACCCTGGACTTAAGACATCCCAGATTACGGGAAGCAATGTAAAGGGGAGGGGGAGTCCCTTTCCCTGTGCGCACATCACTAAGCTCACTGAGTTTGGAACAGTGCACCATTTTTCCAAGGGAAAACCTTTAGATGCCGTTGGACTTGAAGGCTGGGTGACAGTCCAGTTCGGAGTGAGGACACTCCTTGCTATCTTATCCTTGGTCCTAGAGAGCACTCCTTACTGGAAAGGCATTCAACTTCCCATGGAACTTTGAGATGAGACCAAGATATCGGGTTGTCATAATTAATAATTCCTGTCGCATAACTTCGTATATCGATAGAGCTTCAAACGCTGATTACAAATATGGAAACTAAAACTGCAAAATGAACCTGCCAAGGAAGTTGTGAGCAGTCAAAGTTGGCTGGAAGTAAAGCATTACACTAGCCTCCGGGCTTTCAAAGTCGCCGTGGAGTAGTGGTAGTGCTCTCGGAATTTGCGCTCCGACGGGAGGAGAGCTTATGACCTCCAGGGTGAATAGCGAGGGCACCACCACTGCTCCGCGGCGACTCTGAAAGCCCGGAGGCTAGTGTAATGCTTTACTTCCAGCCAACTTTGACTGCTCACAACTTCCTTGGCAGGTTCATTTTGCAGTTTTAGTTTCCATATTTGTAATCAGCGTTTGAAGCTCTATCGATATATCTGGGTCTCATCTCAAAGTTCCATGGGAAGTTGAATGCCTTTCCTGGTTAGGGCTCTTTAACATTAACAAGGAACGCGTTCCAGGCAGTGTCAACCCTATCGTTGGTTTACTTTCCTGAAAATTTTTTACGACCCCCCTCCCCCAAGGTGGATTTGATACGACCCCCTTTTCCACACCTCGACCACCATCATCGTCTCTATAGTACTTAATTCTAGTATAATTCTGATACCACTCAACCCACCAAACTCCGCCCACTTTTTCCTCCAAAAATGCCGTCGAGCGGGGGGGGGGTATATAGCTACTCTGAAACAGTAAAAATTTCCTATCTCCGCCATTTTACTCCTACTTTCTACCGGCTTTTACCTATATTTGCAGATTTTTTTCCTGGCGGTCGTCCCCTCAACTCTCCCACACCTACCTACTCATCAAAAAAACTTTCAGTTTCACCTCAAACTCACATGTGATTTCAAGCGACTGAAACGGTACGACCTCCCTTCCTACAAACTCAACCAAGTACGACCCCCCGTTGTTACTAGTAACAACGTAGGGTTGACCCTGGTTCCAGGTCGCCATGGCCATTCTGTATGAGATGTGTACCTCCATATGCATTTTGTCACGCTGATTCCAAATCTGCCTTCCAAAATCCACTAGACGTCGGTGCGGGCTCTTGAGCAAGGGCTCGTGGTATCAGTTTCTTTGCGAGATTACTCCTTTTTTTGCGCGCAACATTTCCAAAACGACTTGCACATGTTACTTCATCAGTGTTTGTCTATAATAACCCTTCAGATGAGCTTACGATGAGATCTGGGCATTTGCCGATGACTGCTGGCACTGCCCGTAACGCGCACAGGCGCATTCGCGTTAAGAAGTAGGATAGAACAAAACTCTCAGAGTCATCATACAGGCGATCTAAAGCTATCATCGATGAAGTAAAATCGACAATAGCTATTTAAGCTATCCTACAGAAGAAAAGCGAAACGACAAATATCGCTTGGATCTGATCACGTGATTGCTCTCGCCTTCTAGTCCGCACCGCTACCACCTGCGCCACTATCCCACAGCGGCTTCATGTATCTATTGCCTTTTAGTGTCTTATAGTGGAAACTACACAGGAAAGAATGCCTTTTTATTTCCGTTCGCAGCATCCTGAAGCGCTGATTCAAATCTGCCTTTCGGATCTGCTGAAAGCAGATTGAAAGGCAGATTTGAAGCAGCGTTTCGGGATGCGTATGGGGGAATAAATCTCATATATTCAATATGGCCATGGCGACATGAGGGACAACCTTGTAAGAATAAACAATATATGAACGACTCATCTGAATTGCACTTATGGCAAGGAACGGTGAATGTCCAACGTTTTCCCATCCTGTCCACATCCTATGCAATTTTCTGCACCAGGTCATCCACCTTGGACTTCCTCCCAGCCAAAGGTCCACTCCCTGTTTCAAGACCGTCTCCTTGGAACACTGTGGGCGTAATCTACCACGGCATACGTGGTCTCTGCGTCCTCTCGCGTTCTCCCTCTCCTCGCAGCGCTGTGTCTCTCCGTCGTACTACGGCCGGCCTCCTAAGGGAAATTTAGTGTTTTCTATGGTGCTTTTTGCTTTTTCTCCTCACTAATGTTCCTCATTGCACCCTTGCCTAATGTTTGAACAAAATAACGCATCAATTCAATCCCGACTCGTGCCTTTAAGAAAGGGAAGGTCATTTGAACGCGAACGTGAATAGCAGGTAAAGGAAGTTTTGACACATAACGAGCTATTCTTCTGTTGTTTTGAATAAGTAACGATCAAGGACGCCCCTCAGTGTCGAGAGCTTAGCATCAGGATTCTGGATCTCTTTTCCAACATACGAGGACGCACGACCAGGTTGACGTGCGATTTCGCAATTGGAAGGTTCAGAACATGAGGACTCCCATATCTGTGCTTGGTCTTCTTCAGAAAAATGCTTGCCGTGAAGAGGAATGATGCCAGAATAAGTAACGAAAGGAGAAGTAAAAATAGGTTAGGAAATCGATGCAAAAACTTCATCTGCCTCAGGGTGTCCACATACTTTTGATACAGGGAAAAATCTATAATCTTCTATAAAATCCCTATCCCTACTATATATAATGCGCTATGTCTGTCTGTCCGTCTGTCACGAAATTCGGTATCAAGCGAACAACAACCTACAGGGTCCAGGTCAAGTTTGGGATGGGTATACCATATCCCTAGAAGTAAAAAACACACATCAGC